CTCTTGCGGTATTTAGCTTCCTTGTCATGATGATGATAGTGCTTGACAACCATTTTGAAGTCGGCGTCGTTTCTCTTTTGCCACGTTATCTTAAGCTTCAGATCCAAGATATCCCGACTCACGTTGCGGTCAACGGAAATGTAGCTTTTCGGAGAACCAGTCTGAGTCCACTTGCCAAGATCGTCAGCTTTACAATCCAGGTGGACAAGGGCGTCTAAATCAATCAGAAAGGAGGCGTTTTCCATAACCTGAAGTGGCACTTCGGCACAGACAGGCTCTTTTACTCTCATCAAAATGTGGAAAACCTCTTCACTTGAATATGCAGAGCTTCTTCCTTTCTCGTAGTATGGGATACGCTTGTCGTCTTCGCAATACTTGTTAGATTCCTAGAAAGAGAACATCAACATATCACATCTTGCATAGCAACGGTTTCAATTCCGCGCCAAGTAACGAAAAGCCCACAAGGTAAAAGCAAAACGAAAATAGATGTATACTGCTTTTTCAGTCTGACAATACGCATGAAAACTGTTGATAAATAGTGATACGAAATGCCGAACAAACTGGTGGAAATTGACACAGTCTGTTATTTAATTTACTGGATGGTAGTGAATTTTTAACGCACCTTTTTGAGCTTGAAAAAGTGCTCAAAATGGAAATATTTTAATAACGCAAAAATCATAATGGGAGCGATTTCAAGTAAAAATCCAATTCTTGGAAAAGCAATGAAGTAATTAACCAAAACTTTCTGGACACCAAAGAAGAGCTAAATATACTTCTGTCTTCCATCAAGAAAGGAGAGTTCTGCTTTCAATCAAAATACATTTAAACATAGCTGCTCAGAATCATCCCTACTGATCTTCGATTTCACTTTCATCACTACTGTTGATTTCGCTTTCATGGCTACTGGTGATGATACTTTCAGCGTTACTGTCAAATACCTCCATGAAGTCTACTTTACATTCTGTTGCTACAGTGCCCTCTTTGCTTTCAAAACATATTGCTCTGTGCATAAAGCCAAACTCCTCCACTTTTCTTTTCCTGCAACAAGAATAAAAGGTTTGTTTAACAGGGTGAAACCCTGTTAAAAGATTATAACAACCAGCCATCAAGTAACTGCTGTTGTGGGGTTTTACAACATTGGGTGGGTCAACAATAGAACAAATTGTACACAAACAATAAACCTTGTCGTGAAAGCCAACTGTAGCTGCTACAGTTGGGGACAAATGTTTAACTGCTTTCAAGAGTTTTACGCTACTTTGAAAACTGACGAAATAAGGCTAGAAACAGTGTGTCAATGTCAGCAGCTCTGGTCGGATCATGTGTACTATAGGTGGACTCGGTCGACATATCGGTCGACTGTCGCC